AACATTTCAAGATACTCTTTATGACAAATAACTCTGAAAATAACAACGCCCTCGATTTATAACATTCTCTTCAATTAAATTACATATTTCTTTATAAACAGTTTCATGTAGGTACTTCTCGGGAGATGTGCCATGAAGTACGAACTGGACTTTTCACGAGTGATCTTTTTTGATTCCTAAAATTTTGCCGGCAACTGTCATGGTAGTATACTTGACGAGAGAGAACACTTTGTATTTTAGTTAGAGTTTCATTGTAAATTTCAGTATCTGCCTTAAAGTTTAACAGGACACTCTTTTCAAATTGATCCTTTTCTGAAGCCCGTAATGGGTCAATTTTACCACGAAATTGTTTCTTTTTTTTTTGTTACAAAAAAAAAACACAAATTTGAATTTGAACTTGCAGAAGCTACAGTATCGGAACTTTCAACAGTCGATGATTGTGCTAAATTTTCAGATGGTCCTTCCTCCAACGGCAGTTCAGCGTCGATTTCTTTTTCTGCTTCTTTTGTCTCAGGAAGGTTTCCATCTTTTCAAGGGAATCGTGTACAAGTGTATCAACAATTATTGAGCTCTCAGCTGATGTAGATGGCTATTCAACTGCAGGCAAGATTTTCTGGACTGTGATGAAGTCTTTTTTTCAACATCTGTCGTCAAATACTGTCTTTTCAACGCTGTAAATGTCTTGTAACAACTACTATGGTATGCTGAATCATAAATTTCGTCCGGTAAAATAATGTCATTGTATTTTAATTTATGAAATTTCCTTAACCTCAAAACTTTTTTACATTTTGATATAGTCTCTTCTGAAAACAGTAATAATTTTTCATTTTTTACTGAGTTACAAAAGACATACTTCTGTTCTGGTTTTTCACTCGACATAATCACGGATAGATTAAATAATAATAATCGTATCAATAAAACAAAAGAAAGCAACACTATGTATTATATTCAATAAATTCACGAAACACGCAGTAACTGTTAGAAGGCTCAGAGATATACTGAAAACATCTGGCAAAAACCGTTAGAGTGGGGATGAACCTTGGCCCTCTCAGGATAAACCTGAATTTTTCGAGTGCGAGTACTACACAACGAAATTCTAAGCAGGATGAGTACAATAGTGATTCATAGAGAATAAAAGAAAGATAGCTATAGACAGTCTATGCATACTTCTGACCGGATAATAGCTAAGATTTTCTTGTCTACTGAAGTATGTCCACCATGAAGACGTCTGCCATGATCAATATAAGTTTTTAAGACCCTAATAAATGAAATATATTAATGGCAGATCTGGTCAATTACTTTGAAAATTTTATTTTTTTGAGCACTTTCAAAATTGTCTGCCGCAATGAAAACCGCGCGATAATGGTCTGCCATTGTTATTTTCCGATAATAATATTAATATATTTTCAAATTTCAAAGCGGCCAGACGTCGTCAAATACTTATAAAATTGGCCAAAAATCGATACCTGTCTTACCTGAGCGCCCGCCAAGTCGGCCACCTGGAGCTTAGTGACTCTCCATCTCATGTACAGTAGGTATAGGGGTCTCACTGTACAAAAATCCAGGTATCGTCAAATACATATAGGTAGCCGCCCACTGGCTCTTAGACTATTAACTTAAAAGCACACAAAAACTTAAACTAAATGTTTTACATGGTCTCCTACAATTTCTATGCCTTTTTTAATTCTTTTTATAAAGGATTTTCGGACGTTAAAAAAATATTATTCTGTCCCCTTATAAGATTAGCTGCATTTTGAATGTATCTCCAAAGTTCGTCTCGTGTATTAATTTCATTGGCATAAACTAAGGACTTCATATGTCCCCAAAAATAAAAATCTAGCGGGTTGTACTCAGGACTTCGCGGTGGCCATTGAAAATCACTGCCTCTGCCAATCCATTGTTGAGGAAATACGTCATTAAGATGATTTCTAACAGCTAATGAAAAATGAGGTGGCGCTCCATCCTGCATAAACCACATTTTTCTTCTTACATCCAGTGACAGATCATCTAAAATATCACTAAGAGTATTTTCCAAAAATAATAAATAAGAATCTCCATTTAAATTCAGAGGCAGAACATAAGACCCTAGTAGTTGGTCGCCTATAAGGCCACACCAAATATTCAATTTAAACTCATGCTGGAAATGTCTAGCTTTAATAGCATGCGGGTTTTCTTTCTTCCCAATAATGACTATTTCGCCAATTAAAAACCCCTCGTCTGGTAAAAGCTGCTTCGTCGGTGAACATAATATTCTTAATAAAGTGTCTGTCATTGCGATGTTTATTCAGAATACGTTGGACAAAACTGTAACTGTCGTGGAAGATCTGTTGGAAGTAAATTTTGAACAGGAGTGAAGTGATAAGAATGGAGGTTCTCTTTTTTTAGAATTCTAACAATAGACGACTGACTTACTCTTGTTGCTGCTGATAGATGTCGTGAACTTATTTCAGGATTTTCATCTACTTGAACCAAAAGTTCATCTTCTTGATTAGGTGTGATTTGTTTCGGTCGAACACCCCGATTTTTAGTGTGAAATGACGCAGTTTCACCTAAACTACGATATAAACTTACAAAAGTTTTGTGATTTGGTTGCCTTCTGTTTGCGTATAACATTCCATACCTTCTGGCTGCCGAGCGACCGCAAAAATTTTCTTGTACGTATACGCAAATCATATCTCGCATTTCTTCATTAGTAAAATGATTGTGACGAGGCATTTCAATCAAAAAAGTAATGATTACTTTTAAAAAATACAACATTACACTACACTGTCACATCAAAAATAATTTACTCTGAACAAATGACATTTACCAACAACAATTATCTGACAGTCCAAAGCATTTTTCATAAATGAAATAATATTTGAAATCCTTTTTAAGACTCTAAGCATTTCGACTGCGTTTTTATCGAAAACGGTTGAAATTATCATGTTTAAACAAGGGTACCAATTTTACGTAAAAATGATGTTAACGTCATATTTTCTAATAAAAATTACTAAAAAGTTTCATCAGAAAAAGTTTAGACTCAATTTGGTCATTAGGAATGATCCACGTGGCGCCCTTATGACGAAACGTAAAATTGTAAACAAAATGCTATTTCTTGTCTAAGATTATGCCTCTGTCCTATTTTTCATAGCAATTTATAAATATACAGGGAAACTATTAGCAAAAAACGAAAAACAAAAATTAACTTTAACACCCTGTATCTTTTTTTCTCAGCAACATTTTATTAAGGCATATTTAGCCCAATAGCCATATTTTGGTCCAAATAACCTGTCCTTAGTCTATGTCCCAATAGTTATGAGTCACCCTGTAGAGGTATAAATCTACTGAACAACGCACTTAAGCTTAGTACAAAATTTCTAACCAACGAAATCAATAAACTAAATTTAGCAGATGAACAACAAGGGTTCAGATCCGGAAGATCCTGCGTAGATGCCGTATTTGTACTAAGAAATATAACAGAAAAGATCATCAAGTACAATAAACCAGCATATCTATGTTTTCTAGACCTGTCAAAGGCTTTTATACCAATCAATATTATACAAACTATCGAAAACATCTCTTTCCATAATCGAATACAGGCAAAGGTAAATGAAAAAATAATACAGTGTATACCAATACAAAGCGGAGTCAGACAGAGTGACCCGTAAAGCTCACTTTTCTTTAATATAATAATGGACGAAATAATGCAAGCAGTTCGAAAAGGTCATTGTTACAGAATGGGGAACAAAGAACTTCAAATATTATGTTATGCAGACCACGCCGCATTAATCGCCGAGCCAGAAGACGAGCACCAAAGAATAACACACATCTTCAATACAACAGCCGAATGAATGACAACATATAAATATCCACTACGATGTAAAATCGAAATTGATTGAAAAATATGAAGTTGTTGAAGAAGAAGTATGACAAGAAAGCTTAGAAGCAAGTAAAGCTGCGGGAACACTTAATGACATAATCTGGAAAAACCAACACTCTAGACAAGATACAAAAACAAGAATCTATGAAGCAGCAATTAGACCTATATTAACATATACGGCGGAGACAAGACCTGACACATCTAAAACAAGCCGACTACCAGAAACAACAGAGATAAAAATACTTCGACGAATATTAGGAAAAAGTCAGTTGGATAGGGAGAGAAGCAAAACCATAAGAAGAGCATGCAATATAGAAGACATAAATGGATGGGTGACAAAACGGAAACAGGAGTAGAGTAGAACGAACACATTAGTAGAATGGCAGATAATATAATAGTACGAATAGCACGAGATAAGTCACCAAATGACGAATAAGTATTGGCAGACCAAAAAAAATATGGTGCATAGTTTAAATAATTTAACAGGCTAATATTAAAGAAGAAACAGGCTCTAAAGCCTACATACAAAAAGGAAGAAGAAGAAGAAAATAAATTAAAACATAACGTTTATGTAAATTTTTTTCCAGTCCTTCTTTTTCTGAATTTTTTTAGTCGTTTAGTTTAGTAATTTAGTTATTTAAAGTCAAATTATTTAAAAATAATCTTCCCAACCAGTTAAACTTGCAGAATGTCATGTTTATATATAAATGAAGTAAATTAAAAATAAACAACTACTATGCATTTGATTAGTTTAGTCTTAGCTTTTTTCTACATACTGTAAATTCCAATAAAATCCATGCATATAAAAATAATTCTGAGCAGAAAACCATTTACATTATAACAACAATAAATTATAATCTCTGTTTAAAATACATGATCAAATTAAGGATTATACGGTTTTCACAACAAAACAAACTTTAATATAGGTACAAGTATTCTGAATTTTAAATATATCTGTACTATAATATATTATAAATGACTACAATAATAACCTTTACCATAACAATAATTTATCCAAGTAATAATATATTTTCATCTACTCACGCTAACACGACCAATAATAATTTTTGAAGTTCACACACTGGTACACTTTTTCACAAATTCCGAATAAAATGTAATAAAAACTGTTGATACATACCTTTGACGTATTCATGATTGTCTTAATTGCGTTTGTGTACATACAATTCGTTACCGTCACCCTAGCAACCATTCATTGTCTAGACAACAGGCAGGTTACTACGCGACCGCGGAGTAATAGTTATAACATGGTGTGCAGTCATTGGAACTAAAATCTAGTTTCTCTTTAAATGTTTTGAAGTAAATTTAGTCTTTTAAACTTGAGTATAGGAATAAGACACAATGTTAACACAATTTAGTTAAAGTTCACGTCCTCGTTCTTAATATGTACATATCTACGCCGTCAGATCGTACACAATTTAGCAGATAATAGTTTCTTTTTGAATAGTTACTTTCGTATTGAATCTTAATTTTTACTTATAACTATTCGGATGTAATTGGCTTTTCACCATTCCTAATGTGCTTGTCAAGTATATTTTATAGTCTTTTCTTCTTCTTCTTCCGTCTAGTATATTAGCCTTTAATATTAGCCTCCTAAATTGTTTAAATTGTCGCACCATCTTTTTCTTGGTCTGCCAATACTTCTTTGTCCATTTGGTGACTTACCTCGTGCTATTCGTTTTATTCTATATGTACAAACTCTTTATGAAAATCTTAACAAAGAGGCTAACACCTAAACTTGATTTCTATCAGCCCAAAGAACAGGCAGGCTTCAGGGCAGGATATGGCACAAATGACCATTTGCATACCATAAAGATCTTAATAGAAAAGTGCATCGACTACAACATACCACTATTTCTTGCATTTGTCGATTACGAGAAGGCTTTTGATTCTGTAGAGTTTGAAACAATACTGAAAGCCCTAAATCAAAGCCGAATAGATTACAGGTACACGACACTAATCAAAAACATCTATCAGAACGCTACATCAAGTATACGACTGCACGAAGACACAGAAAAATTCAGCTTAGGTCGAGGAGTTAGACAAGGAGACAATATTTCACCAAAATTGTTCACGGCAGCTCTAGAGTCAATATTTAAGGGTACTCAATGGCAAGATATGGGCATCAATATAGATGGAGAAAGATTAAATCACCTAAGGTTTGCAGATGATGTTGTATTAATCGCAGAAGTCTGTCTGAAAGAGCAGAATTAAAGATAAACTTTGAGAAAACTAAAATTATAACAAATCTCGTAATGAGTGGAAATATAACTATTGACAATAAAACCATACAACAAACAGACACTTACAAATATCTGGGACACGAAATCAAAATAAGCAGGGACAATCAAACACATACAGAGGCGAATAGGTCTAACATGGGCAGCATTTGGCAAATTAAGCCCTATTCTAAAAAGTTCAATTCCCATGTGTCTCAAGCGAAAGGTTTATAACCAATGTGTTTTACCTGTACAAACTTATGGAGCAGAGACTTTAACACTCACACACAAATCTGCGAATAAACTTAGAGTTACACAACGAGCCATGGAACGTGCAATGCTGAACGTGAGCCTTCGAGACCACATAACAAACCAACAAATCAGGCGAAGATCAGGAGTTCAAGACATCATCGAAAGAACCACAACGCTTAAGTGGAACTGGGCAGGGCACTTAGCCAGAACACAAAATGGACGGTGGACAAGACGTATTATGGAATGGAGGCCCAGAAATTATAAAAGAAGCCGAGGACGACCACCGACTAGATGGACCGATGACATTAAACGTGTAGCGGGAAACTGGCTACAAGCGGCCCAGTGTAGAGAACACTGGAAAGAACTGAGGGAGGCATATGTCCAGCAGTGGACGCGATTGGCTGATTGATGATGATGATTCGTTTTATTCTATTCTCTGCTATATATTCTGATATTTTATAGTCTACAGTACAAATGAAGAGATGAAGTATTAAATGAGCTAATATTTAGTAAAAACGTTAAGAAAACGCAAGGATTAATTTTGCTTGTTTATTTATACAAAAAGTCTGTATATAACAAAACAAAAAATTGAATCTAAAAGTATAATTATGTTATAAAGAAAAGAAACGAAGAAAATAATTTTCTTATAATACGAAGGTGCTAAGTGCCCACCTACTTTTCTTCAGTAATGGTACAAAATATCATTATTTTGCATGTTAGTGTTTTCAGCAACATCTTCTTGTGCAGTTTCATCTACTCTTAGTCAATTTTTGTAGAACTGTTAAGATGTTAAGGATTGTTGAGGTATGGTATTATTTGAAGACTCTTCTTCTTGTTCGCTTAAACTTTGTTTTCAGGTTCCAGTATCCTAATTTTTTTTTTCAAATCACTTAGCGTTTTGATCTTTTTTTAATTGTTAGTTTCACGCCGTAATTAAAATAATGAAAATCAATAGGTAATTTTGATGTTTATAGCATTCTCTTTTTCAACACGTATTCTATTTGATTTGATAATTTGTAGCTTATTGACATTTATCATTTTCTTAGTAGCCTCATTAATGTTCCAAAAAACGAAGCTATTCATGTCGATGACATCGTAAGGTAGAGTGTATTTTGCGAAAGTAATAACGTTTATCAAATCCTCCCGTATGAATGCTTTCATAGTTTTTTACGTTTTTCTATTAGGGCAAAATCCCTAAAATAGGGCATAAAACTGTGGCCGCTTACTAAAAATTACTTACTTTGCTCTATAGAATCGGGTACGCCATTAGAAACAAAAAACACCAACACAAACAAAATAAGGATCACAACTCCGTGCCACAGGAACATGGAGCTATTATTTGTGTCCCTACATGTATTCTAAAGTTAAAGCAGAAAAGCTGTGATAAATAGAACATCTTTTTTTAAATGTGCCTATCTTCTAGAGATGTTGGCGACCACATTGACCCATCTTATTCTATTCACAGCAGCTCGAAATAGATTAGTTGACGTTAGACTAGTCCATTTTTGTAGATTGATTAGCCAGGATATACGTCTACATCTAGGGCCTTTTAATCTTGCCCTGTAGAATTAACTTTAGAAGTCGGTATTCATCATTACGCATGATGTGACCGAAGTAAGCCAATTTTATGTTTTTTATGGTGTTAATAATTTCTTTGTCTTTTCTTAGCCTCTGGAGAATAGTATAGACCCCCAACATACGTCGGTAGCACCAAATTTAAAATGCCTGCAATCGTTTTATGGCATCTGTAGGGCTCCAGCTTTTAACTCCATAGAGAAGGACACTAAAGACATAACATCTAAGAATTCTTATCCGTATATTGATACTTAAAGATAAGTTACAGATAATCTTCCTAAGACTGTTGAAAGAGCTTCTGGATTTTTCAATATAAGTTTTTATTTCATAGCTGTGATCCCAAGTATCCCTAATATTGCAGCCCAAATAGCATATTTTTTCCACTCTTTCTAACGGTGTATAGTTAATTGTAATTTGGGCGTTCATGCCGGGTTCTTAGTAATGATCATTATTTTTTTCTTCTTGCAATTTAGTTTTAGGCTGTATTGGCTGTATGCACAACTAACCAAAGACATGCAAACATAGCCAAGGAAGCAAATACAAGTCGACACTAAGGGGTGGGCGTCGGCTGTATCTAATAAAAGCCCCAAATCCGCACTAATGCTTTAAATAAAAAAGAAAAGAATTTACTACCTAAAGCCAACGTTGACAATCAAAAATGCACCTTTAATATTGGTATCGGTGCAACCAGATCCTATTCTAACTGGATTTCTGAATGACAAACTACAACCCATATTGGCGATACATCATTCATGTTTTTTAAACTCAACTAACAGAACTTGCTAAATTTAAGTATCCTATAGTCTGTTTATGGATGCCTTTATACCAATTTGTTCTAAAAAAAAGCTTTAGATGTCTGATAGTACGCCAAATGCAATAATCTTTAAATTTTTGCCAGCTTTCGTTATGTTTTTTATATCGAAGTTTCAGATGAGTGTGAAAAAGCTTCTTTAGATACTGCTGGTCATATCTTGTCGCTAAAGCTTGAACAAGAGAGGTATTACTGGGTGCATCATAGGGAATAAATTGCAAGCCGGTTGCTGCCGGTCCTCGAAGCGACAATACCAAGAAAGTAGGATTTCACTTGGGTCAGCAGGACGCGATAGAGTCTCTTGTTCCGTCTTCGTCCGCCCTTTTTGATCTGTCTCGTCGTGCTACCCGTCCCGTAGCTATTTTCGTTATCCCGTCCCGCGTGGTGGCCCATGTCATCAATGTTACACTTCTTTAGAAAAACTTTATTCTAATACCAACTTGTTTACAATCCTTTAACTAATGACAACCATAAAGTTCAAAAACTCAATCAAGCAATCAGTACAGTTTTTTGTATTTTAGTTTAAGTTCCTCTTGTTTTTTATTTATATGGCCCTTTTAACAAAGTCTTGTATTAAAATTTATATCCAGGTACTTCGCCATATATACAACAGGGATCTGGATGTCATCTATTTTATGGGGCATAGATTACTGTTTCTTATTTGGGAAATTTACATGCATTAATTTGGTCTCATTCAATTTTGTCGTCCCATTTTTTGGTCCAATCATCGATCTTGTTCACTGAAGATTATAGATTTCTTGTAGTTTCTTTATGAATCTTTCCCAATGCCAAAATAGCTTTGTCGTCCGAAAATATTGCGATTGTTTTATTTTTGAGTTCAGGAATGTATGTATAACAAGTAGAGAACTATGCCAAGCACACTTTCCAGCGACATTCCCGTCGGATTTCCTTTAACTCTGTGTTGGTATCCTTCTTCTTTATTCTGAAGTGTCGTTCAGATAAGTACGATTTTAATAATTATGAATACTACCTCGGTAGTTCTCTATTCAATTTATGTATAATGCCTTTATGTCACCTTATCAAAGGCTTGGGCCAAATTCAGGAAGATGACTGAATAAATTTGTTTTCCAGCTAGCGTCGTTTCAATGATGTTGGTGATTCTCTGTACCTGTTCTATCATTTAATGACTCTCTCTAAAGCCAAACTGATGTTGTGGAACATATTTTTTTCTTCGATGATTATCTTTAGTCTGTTTATTAGGATCTTTTTATATAATTGTACTATAGAGTAATTCTAAATTGAAAGGAAATTTAGAAT